AGTCTTCAAAGCGCCATGGGCCAGACTCTCGCTTTGATTTTGCTGCAGCGGATGAATGCGGCTGGCCCTCTGGAATTATTAGAATGCCTGGCATTACTTCCATTACAAGTTTAGATTTTTGTTTCCTTTTTTAGGGTTTCGTTTGCCCACTTTGTGTGTGTGTCTGTGTGTGTGACTTAGCAGCTTTCCTTCAAAACTGGATGGAACGTGTATGGAATTCCCTGTGTCTCTTCGTTCCATCCCCCTCTGCACTTCTCATAGGTGCTGGTGGGAGGGAATGTGTCTCAGAGCCTCTGCTTGGCATGCAGAAGGTCCCAGGTTCAATCCCTGGCATCTCCAGTTAAAAGGACCATAAGTAGGTAATGCGAAAGGCCTGGAGAGCTGCTGCCAGTCTGAATAGACAATACTGACCTTGCTGGACACAGGGTCTGATTCAGTAGAAGACAGCTTCATGTGGTGTGTTGCGCTCATGTCGATCAAGTAGGGGCTTCCCCCTACTTCCGAACCTTTGGTGATTAAGGACACCAAAGGAAATTAGGGAAAATGTTGAGACAGTGTGCAACTGCAATAAAAAAGGCCAACGCTATGCTGGGGTTTATTAGGAAGGGAACTGAAAACAAATCAGCCAGTATCATCGTGCCCTTGTATAAATCAATGGTGCGACCTCATCTGGAGTACTGTGTACAGTTCTGGTCACCACACCTCAGAAAGAATATTGTAGCACTGGAAAAAGTGCAGGAAAGGGCAACTAGAATGATAAAAGGGTGGGAACACTTTCCCTATGGTTAAAACGCTTGGAGCTCTTTAGCTTGGAGAAACGACGGCTGAGGGGGTGACACGATCGAGGTTTATAAGATTATGCATGGGATAGAGCAGGTCAAGAAAGAAGCACTTTCTCCCTCACAATACAAGAACTCGTGGGCACTCCATGAAATTGCTGAACGGATAAAAGGAAGTCCTTCTTCACCCAAAGAGTGATGAACACATGGAATTCACTGCCACAGGAGGTGGCGGCGGCTACAAGCATGGATGGCTTCAAGAGGGAATTAGATAAGCATATGGAGCAGAGGTCCATCAGTGGCTATTAGCCACAAGGTATAGATAGGAACTTTCAGTCTGGGGCAAGTGATGCTCTGTATTCTTGGTGCTGGGGGGGGGCAACAGTGGGAGGGCTTCTAGTGTCCTGGCCCCACTGGTGGACTTCCTGATGGCCCCTGGTGTTTTGGGCCACTCTGTGACAGAGTGTTGGACTGCATGGGCCGTTGGCCCGATCCAACCCTGGCTTCTCTTATTATGTTCTTATGACAGTACGAGGGAGTATGTAATGCTAGCCTGCTTTGGGGCAGCGGAACTGTTATTGAATAAAACAAAGCCTGAGTCCAGTGGCACCTTTGAGACCCCCAAAGTTTAATTCTGAGTATAAGTTTTCATGTGCGTGCACGCAAGGCTACCTGAAGACGTCTGCACGCACACGAAAGCTTCTACCCAGCATTAAACTTTGTGGGTCTTAAAGGTGCCTGAATGGACTCAAACCTTGTTCTGCTGCTGCAGACTGGCATGGCTGCCCACGTGAATCGTGCTGGTCAATAAGATATGCACACCCAGCTGGGTTGGTGGTTTCCAGTCTAGACAGGTTGTCTGCACTAAGGGATATTCACGACAACATATTGTAAACTATGTTTTGGGACTCCCGGATGCCCCAAAGTGACTTATTTTGATTTTGAGATTCCATTCTTCTAAGAAGCTTGTTTGAAAGAATGAAGCAAACAGCGCAACAGAAATGGTAGTTTTCATATGTGAAGTGTTGTAATGGTTACCCCTTGATTAGATTTTATTTAGTGAACGTCAAGTCTTTTTTTTTTTAATATGAAAGCTTGAAAATCACAAAGTAATTACTAGGCATTAATTTTATAAAGAAGAAGGGGACGGCAAAGGATGAGATGGTTAGACAGTGTTATCGATGCAACAAACATGAAATTAAGCAAACTTCGGAGCACAACGGAAGACATGAGGGCCTGGCATGATGGTGTCGCGGAGAGCCGGACTCGACTGTGCGACTGAACAACAATTTTCTGAAACTCATATTTCCCACTCCTCCACATGCAGCCAGCTGGGTGACCTTGGGTCAGTCACATGTTCTCGATAGAGCTCTCTCAGCCCCACCTGCCTCACAGGGTGTCTGTTGTGGGGAGGGGAAGGGAAAGGAGACTGTAAGCTGCTCTGAGACTCCCAAGTGAAGGGCAGGGTATAAATCCATTTCTCTTCTCTGTTCTGTTCTTCCTGGAAACCAATGGGTCATTTTTGAAGCATTTGTTAGAAAGATGCATTTCAGTATGAAGTCTTCACAGTACTGTAACTGTAGGACATCTCTTGAATTCTGTAGCTAGAACGGGCCTTCTATTGTAAAAGCATAAAGGCTTGAATAACTAATCGGGAAACAGCTGCTGGTGGTATTTTTCCTGAACCGTCTCTTACATCCTGCACAACAAAATACTCCCCCCACCACCACAATAAAAAATTCTGTGGTAGGAAGGCAGTGATTACTTTGTTGGTTTTAATCACTGCTGCCATTAGTCTATGGGTTTTATTCTTTTTCGGCAATACAGCTTTTTATCCGTTTTTTTAAAAAACAGTGAGTCATCCTCTCAGGGCGGCAGTAGGTGGCCATACCTGTTGTGCCATGCCCCCAGAGGAGGAGTGTGGGTTCATAAGCGCAAATGTCTTGGGGTTTGTTTCCGTGCCCTTTTCCTTAAGATAATACGAACGTATTTGTGAGTCTATTCTCATCTTGCGAAAATGCATCTAAGAGATATCCGTGCCGTGTATTTGCTTCTTTGGTCTTGTTAAAAGAACACGATTCTTCTTCTGTTCAGTTAGACTAATGCGGCGTGCAGAAAATTAAATGGCCTGGAATGTCAGCCGAAGACTGTTTTGTGTTTTTTTGCATTGCAAACCCAAGCATATTTGCTTGTGGGTGTAGTTCTGATAACTGGCGTTGAACTTGTTTTCAAGTGAAGCATGCTTGGCATTGCAAGCATGAGAGCCCCGTCTTGGCATGTTTACTTGAAAGCAAGCCTCACAGAGGGACCTGGTGGCCGTGGAAAGCGCCGTAGCGTTGCAGCTGATGTACAGTGTAGCAACCCTGGACTTCCTTGGTGGTCTCCCCTCCAAGTACTAACCAGGGCCGACCCTGCTTAGCTGCTGAGGTCTAACAAGATCAGGCTAGCCTGGGGCATCCGGGTCAAGGCTGGTGGGGACCTACTCCCGTGTAAATGAACATAATAGTACAGCTTACGTTCTGTGATGGCAAAGGTCTGGAGTCAATGTTGTCTTAGCTGGGGGGGGAGCCTCTTCTTAGCTTGCGGGGGGGGGCCAGTTTGGTGTAGTGGTTAAGTGTGCGGACTCTAACCTGGGAGAACCGGATTTGATTCCCCACTCCTCCACTTGCACCTGGGTGGATGGCCTTGGGCAAGCCGTAGTTCTGATAAGAGCTGTCCTTGAAAACGAGCAGTTTGTGTCAAGAGCTCTCTCAGCCCCACCAACCTCACAGGCTGTCTGTGGTGGGGAAGGGAAGGGAAAGGAGAGTGTAAGCCGCTCTGAGACACCTTTGGGTAGTGAAGGGCGGGGTATAAATCCAATCTCCTCTTCGTCTTCTTAACATTTTCTAACAAAACGTTTAGAACGCTGCAAACGGCTTCACAGCCTGCTCATCTGCAGTAGGAAACAATTACCAAACACTGTGAGACAGAGCGCAAGCAAAACCTATGGAATAAAGAATATTGGGACTAAAGTTGTGTTCTTGTCATCCGTTGTATTATTTCAATATTATCAAAGTCATGTCACATCAAAATTTTCAAGATCAATGAGTACATGTAATTGCATCCATATATAAGAGTTATCAACACAAAACATGTAACATCTTATCAGATTAATTCTAATAAGAGCCCATAAAGCCGGTTACTCCAAGAAGTCCAAGAGAAATCTTATCTGCAGGGTCCAGTCTGGAAAATCCTGTCTGAAATGTCCGTGTGAAGGACCCAATTTGGACTAATCTGGGACGTCTGTGTGGACAGCCCAATGTCTGTGTGAAGAATCCAGTATGGGATGATATATACAAATTAATTACTAACTTGTTGCAAGTAATTAAACTTTTATTCAGCCAAAGTATCTCATGGACATGTTTTCAATATCAGGGTTATGAACATAAGAGAAGCCAATGTTGGATCAGGCCGGTGGCCCATCCAGTTCAACACTCTGTGTCACACACAGTGGCCAAATATACCAGGGGCCATCAGGAGGTCCAGCAGTGGGGCCAGGACATTAGAAGCCCTCCCACTGTTGCCCCCTCTCCCCCCAAGCACCAAGAATACAGAGCATCACCTGCCCCAGCCTGAAAGTTCCTATTTATACCTTGTGGCTCATAGCCTCTGATGTACCTCTGCTCCATATGTTTATCCAATTCCCTCTTGAAGCTGTCCATGCTTGTAGCTGCCACCACCTCCTGTGGCAGTGAATTCCATGTGTTAATCACTCTTTGGGTGAAGAAGGACTTCCTTTTATCCGTTCTAACCTGACTGCTCAGCAATTTCATGGAGTGCCATCAGGAGGTCCACCAGTGAGGCCAGGACATTAGAAGTCCTCCCACTGTTGACCCCCCCAAGCACCAAGAAGACTTGCCCCAGAGTCCCTATCTATACCTTGTGGCTAATAGCCACTGATGGATCCGCGCACTTAACCACTACACCACACTGGCTCTCATTTAGCTTGTGATGCAGCAGGATGGGGAATATCATCTTTGGGACCAATCGGCTGCACGGGCTGGCTGGGCTGATGCAACTGGAAGTTCTCGAGACAGCCGGCAGGTAGGGAGCCGCAAGAGGAATTGCTCCGCGCAAGGTCCCGCCACTGCTGTTTTAATGCAAGTCTCCCGGAACACTGCTGTGGAAATGCACCTCTCGCGGACTGGATTTTTTTACACCTTTTGGTTTTTGTCCCCTTAGGATTTTTACAACTGGCCCGATGAATCCTTTGAAGAAATGGATAGCACGCTGGCTGTTCAACAGGTATTTTATATTTACGTTCCTTCTCTTTGCCTGCTCCAGACAGCTACCTTCTGGGTTCTGCCGTTTGCGGTTGCACTAGAATATGTCAACCAAGTGCATAGAAGAAATGTATAGATACTAAATTATGAAATCTAAAGTGGCTCCCTGGTATAAATACTGTAAATTTGACCATCGCAGGTCGAGTTACCTCGTTAACATCTCTAACTACCCTCTTGGAGTGTCCTTTACAGCCTTATGATTTCAAACTATGCAAACAGCTCTTCTGGCTGGCCATTATTCACACACTCCAAAAGGGCAAGGTCTTTGCATTTGTTGTCTGCCAGCGGTGGAGAACCTTCCTCACTACATGCTTTACTGTCCGCTATATAGCACTCCAAGAGAGAAATTTTTAGCAGGATTTCTATAGGCTACGCAAGCATACTCAAAAGCTGAAAAGCTTGGCGTTCTTCCTTTCAGATAATGATTCTTATCTATCCCACAGAGTCTCCCTGTTTGCTTTAGCAGCGTCTAAGATTAGATCTAAGGGGCAGGTTAGTTGAAGGTGTCCGAATCTATATCTTTTTATTAATGATTGGTAGTCCATTTTAACCCTGATTGTTTTTATCAGCATTTCACTGTATTCTGTATTTTGTAATGGCCAGTGGCTTTATACAATAAACCTCTACCTACATAGATACTTTTACTTATACGTAAAGAGGAGCGTTGAGCATTTAGGTAACGATCACCATTTATCATGCTAAGAAGACAATACTCCACACTCGCTAGAACTCATCCATCTTTCTCACTATTGTAGTTGTGTTTTTTTGTTCACATTAATCAGCTTTGGATTACAAAGACAAACTTCCTTGTCCAGTTTTTATATTAGATTTTTGTGCACTAGTTTCTTTCCTTTAGAAGATTGGAGGCCCCACGTGGGAACATTTGTCACATAATAGTTGAGTCAATGAGATGAAAAGTCACCATTTTTTTTCAGTCTTGAACATAAGAATGTAAAAAGAGCCCTGCTGGATCAGACCAATAGTCCATCTAGTCCAGCATCCTGTCTCACAGAGTGGCCAACCAGTTCCTTTGGAGGGCCAACAACAGGGCATGGAGGCCGAGGCCTCCCCCTGATAAGAAGAGCCCTGCTGGATCAGACCAATAGTCCGTCCAATCCAGCATCCTGCTCACACGGTGGCCAACCAGTTCCTCTGGAGGGCCAGTGACAGGGAATGAAGGCTGAGGCCTTCCCCTGACGTTGACTCCTGGCTCTGGGATTCAGAGGGTTAGTGCCTCTGAATGTGCAGGTTCCCCCTCAGTCACCATGGCTAAGAGCCACTGGTAGAGCTATTTTCCGTGCATCTATAAGAACATAAGAGAGGCCCTGCTGGATCAGACCAGGGGTCCATCTAGTCCAGCCTCCTGTCTCCCACACTGGCCAACCAGTTCCTCTGGAAGGCCAACAATAGGGAATAGAGTCCGAGACCTTCCCCTGATGTTGCCTCCGGGCTCTGGGATCCAGAAGATTAGTACCTCTGAATGTGGCGGCTCCCCTCAGTCACCAGGACTAGGAGCCACTGATAGACCTATCCTCCACGAATCTAATCCTCTCTGAAAACTTATTCCTGTGGCCATCATTGAACCTCTGGCAGTGGATTCCACATTTTAATCACACTCTGTGTCAAGTGGTATTTCCTTTTTTCCATCCTGAACCTACAGCTTCATTGGATGCTCTAAAGTTCTAGTATTTTGGAAGAGGGAGAAAACATTCTTTCTCGACATTCTCTACCCCATGCATAATTTTATAAACCACTATCATGTGCCCCCTTCGTCTTATCTTTTCTAAACTGCAAAAGCCCCAGACTCTTCAGCCTTTCTTCATAGGGAAGGTGCTCCAATTCCCTAATTATCTCAGTTGCCCTCCTCTGTACCCTTTTCAGCTCTGCAATGTCCTTTTTGAGATACGGTGGCCAGTATTCCAAATGATGCCGCACCCTAGATCTATACGTCATTTCGTAGAAAAAGAGGTGCAGGAGCTCATTAGCATAACTCATTAGCATACCTTGTTTGCATATGCCACACCCCCTGACATCGCCGGAAGTGTCTCAGAAGGCAACACCCACTGCTCAGGCTCCACTGGACTGTTTTGGATTGCTAGCTATTGGGGGGGGGGCGTGCAGATCTGCCCTCACAGAGGAGGGAGAGCTTGTACCTGAAGGGGGGGGGGCTCTGCAACTTACCTGGCTGCTTCTTGCTCCTTGTGGCCCGACTGAGGGCTGCTGGGAGCAGGAGGCGGGGCTTGCTGCATGTGCCCCCCCCCTGGGCTCCTTACTGCCGGAGCTCCGCTCCTGTGCGCTCCTGCAGGAAATGACCCCTGTCAGGGGTATTACAATATTGACCATTTTGTCCTTGCTTCAGCCATGAGCCTTTTCGGGGGAATAGCCACATGCCATACGTTTGTATGTTGTGTGTTTCTTCCTTCTAGTATATCCAGCAGAACATAAGGGCAGACTGTTCGAACATTGACAAAATTCTCGAACCTCCAGAAGGGCAAGATGAAGGCGTATGGAAGTATGAACACTTAAGGTAATGGTTGATGCAGGGGAAAATTTAAAGTGAACCGTAACTGTGGCCAGTCCTTGGAAAAAGCCAGTTGCTTCTTTCCCTGAAATACTGGTGTTCCTTATGCCCCTGGGAACACCAATCTGAGACTCCAGGGTTGCTGGGGGAAAGAGAATGTGGACCTTAGATGCTGAACCACTCCTAAATGGGGAACATGCTCCAAGGCTCTGCTGGCAGAAGATAGAGGATAAGGAAGAGAAGGTATCTGCTGGGAAACAAGGCAGAACACCATAAGAACCTAAGAGAAGCCAATGTTGGATCAGGCCAATGGCCCCTCCAACACTCTGTGTCACACAGTGGCCAAAAATACCAGGGGCCATCAGGAGGTCCACCAGTGGGGCCAGGACACCAGGAGCCCTCCCACTGTTGGCCCGCCCCCCAAGTACCAAGAATACAGAGCATCTCTTGCCCCAGACATAAGAACGTAAGAGAAGGCATGTTGGATCAGACCAATGGCCTACCCAGCAACACTCTGTGTCACACAGTGGCCCAAACCCAGGTGCCATCAGAAGATCCATCAGCGGGGCCAGAATTCCAGAAGCCCTCCCACTGTTGCCCCCCCAAGCACCAAGAATACAGAGCATCACTGCCCCAGACATAAGAATGTAAGAGAAGCCAGTGTTAGATCAGGCCAGTGGCCCATCCAGTCCAACACTGTCACACAGTGGCCAGAAATAACAGGTGCCGTGAGGAGGTCCAGCAGTGGGGCCAGGACACTAGAAGTCCTCCTACTGTCCCGTCCCCCCCGGCACCAAGAATACAGAGCATCACTTACCCCAGACCGAGAGTTCCTATCTATACCTTAAAAATAAGAGAAGCCAATGTTGGATCAGGCCAGTGGCCCACCCAGTCCAACACTGTGAGTCACACAGTGGCCAAAAATACCAGGTGCCCTCAGGACATCCACCAGTGCGGCCAGGACACCAGAAGCCCCTCCCACTGTTGCCCAACCCCCAGGCACCAAGAATACAGAGCATCCCTTACCCCAGACCGAGGGTTCCTGTCTATACCTCGTGGCTTAGAGCCACTGATGGATCTCTGCTCCATCTTTTCTTTCAGTTAACGCTTCCCTCTCAGTTGCAGGTGCATGCTACTTGAATGAAAGGCTCTTGCAAGCGGCGTCTTCCCTTCCACCAAACAGTTCTGTCAAAGCTCTTTGCAGGCAGACGGACTGGGCACATCCCCCCCCCATCACCCCATTCAAGAGATCTGAAACTGCTAACGACTATCCTGTTCCTGGACAAACACAGAGAGCCAGTATTGTGTCGTGGTTAAGAGTTGGAATCTCCACTTAAGCCACGGAAGCCCGCTGATTGACCTTGGGCCAGTCCCAATCTCTCTCTCTCTCTGCCTCACCCGCCTCACGGGGTTGTTGTGAGGATGGACTGGAGGAGAGGGGAGTGCCGTTAGCGGCTTTGGGTCCCCACTGGGGGAGGAAGGCGGGGTAGAAATGAACGAAAGAAAATTAAATAAATGAATACAGGTGGTTCCGAGTGTTCTCAAAGCCATTCCAGTCAAATCCAAGCTCCTCGTGATGTGCCGTAGTTCACTGGCATTAGCCGGATGTGAAAAATTAGCATTATTTGTCACGGTTAACTGTTTTGTTCTGCCCAACTTGCCACGTGTGAACTCTGGTTCCAGATTTTTCATTTGGGCACAGATTCCGTTGCCCTTAGTGGAACACCTGCTCGGGGTTAATATTTCCAGTCCGGGTTTGCCTCGCCTTCCTGCGTGAGAATAAGGGCCTGTTCGGAGCCGAGGTCATTCACTCGTCACCTCGCAGCTGACTTCCCACGGAGGTGTCTGGAAAGTGCTCGCTCGTGTCTCTGCTCTTGATGTTGGCAGGGGAAGGGTTAACCCCCCCAAAAAAAATTATTAAGATGCTTAAAATGAAAAGAAGGCAGAGTGACAGGTAGACCTCCAGTATCTTTGGAGTGGATTAGGAACATACGGAGACCCCTGCTGGACCGGTCCAAGGGCCCATCTAGTCCAGCACTCGAGGGAGCCCACAAACAGGAAGACTGCAACGGCATCCTCTTGCCCAAGTTCCGCAGCAACCAATTTAAAGAGGCCCACAGCCTCTGGTACAGGAGGGAGCAGATCCCCATCACGACCACAAGCCACTGACAGCCCCGACCTCCACCACTGCCCACTCCCCTTTTAAAGCCTTTCAAGTTGGGGACCCTCACCCCATCCTGTGGCACAATTTAGCTGCGCCATGTGATGTCTTACTAGTAAGTTCTTGAATATTTAGACGGTGTAGAATTTTAAAAGTTTCATTAAATATTGCACTACGAGCCTGTGGGGAGGGCCAAAGTACGTGCCATGTTCTGGCCGGAAGGGGGTTGGCTTGCTGAGTTTCTGCCTGTCCTCGTGATGACGAGCGGCTCGTTTTGTTACTGCCCTGAGTATACCGTCTGCGAGACGGCAAGGCATCTAAGGTCCCCGCTGTTCCGCATGTGGAGGTAGAGGCGCCTGATTTCCCCCTTTCAGCTATGGCTCCTTATGCCACGTGGAATGTCCTCTTGCCCTCAAGCGTGGGGGGGGTAGTGAACAGGAGCCTGTGGTGGGAATGGAGTTTGAAAAGGCCCCAGCGCGCGCACGGGATACTGAGTTAAGCCCTACCATTTTGCCACCTCCCATTGGCGCTTCCGTGTTCCTTTAGCACAGGGCGTCTTCTGCCGACACAAAGATGGTGGAATTCCAAAAACAACATCCGTGACAAAAATAACGAAGAGTCAGTAAAGTTAAGTTGCAGAAACGTTTACTGTGGTGATTCTGTAGAAAATGTTCTTCTATTATTGCTCACACGCCAACGAATACTGCACAATGAAAACAACATTGGGTTCTGTCATCAGAGATAAGAATTGGGATTGCTGCACGCTCAGATAAAGCAAATATTGTGAAACAAATTGTTTTCATTGCGCAGTATTCGTTAGCGTGTGAGCAATACTAGAAGAAAAATTTATACAGAATGACTACAGTAAGCGTTTTTGCAGCTTATCTTTATTGACTCTTCGTTATTTTTGTCACTGATGTTGTTTTTGGAATTTCACTTCCTCCCGTGATCTCTCATTTTTGGCTTCTACGACACAAAGATGGTGTCAGGTCAGCACCCAAGTGTCTTATGTCAGTGGAAGGTTTCTGGTGTCAGATGAGCCAATGGGCAGCGACAGATCAAATGGTAGAATCCGAACCGTGGTTGCCTCGACCCTTGTTTTTAATGACTTTTAAGAGTTTGGGCAGTTAACAGACTTTGTTGCATAGGCAATCTTTGTAGATCTACCTACGATTATCCGTCCTTACCCATCTCTAGAGAAAGGGGTACATATTTAAGATCTTACAATCTTAACAAAAGATCTTAAGAAGATCTCATATATTGTTCTGGGTCCAAATTGTCAACACAAGTTGGAATTACCTACTGATGATTCTTACTTCCATTGCGGCAGTTGAAATTATTTTAGCTTTGTTCACATCTGAGATGTAGCATGCTTTCCCTTTGCCCCACCATTCCAGAAATCTTAATCGCTTATCATACAGTAGACATTCTCAAGTACTGAAGTCTGTAACAGATAGTCTGCACTCTTCTGATGAGGACAAGTGACCATCTAATGTTCTGTTTTCTAAAATTTCAGGCAGTTCTGTCTAGAATAGCATTAGTGACTATCTAACATTTTGTTTTCTAAAATTTCAGGCAGTTCTGTCTTGAGCTTAATGGCCTTGCAGTTAAACTTCAGGTAACTTTTCCCTTCCTTATATTCCTTTTAAAGGTGAAGCCTAAATTTTCCTTTTCTGACTAGCCGGGAGGGTATATGTAGTCTGGTGTAGTAGTTAAGTGCACGGACTCTAATCTGGGAGAACCAGGTTTGATTCCCCACTCCTCTTGCACCTGGCTGGATGACCTTGGGCAAGCCATAGTTTTGGCACAGCTGTTCTTGAAAAAGAGCAGTTTCTGTCAGAGCTCTCTCAGCCCCACCTACCTCACTGGGTGTCTGTTGTGGGGAGGGGAAGGGAGAGGAGTTTGTAAGCCGCTCTGAGACACCTTCGGGTAGTGAAGGGCAGGGTATAAATCCAATCTCTTCTCTTCTTCTTAAGGCATACTCTAGTTCTGCAGGACTTTCTTTATCTTTGTTCAGACTTTTTCTGTTCCCTCCTGATTTTGGGTGCAGTGATTTGCAGTGAAGCAACTTCAGGGGCAGTGCGCTGTATCCTTCTCCCTGGTTTAATCTTTCTTTGCCGCCCAATGTCTCCCCAGACTGAATGCCATCCAGATACCTGCACGCAGATGACAGCGACCGAACAGTGGATTTTTCTCTGTGCAGCCCATAAAACTCCCAAAGAGGTAAGAAGGGGGCGTTCTGACGGGGGCCATTCAGGCTGACTTGCAGCAACCCCAGCAAGGGGCTTTCAGGGCAAGTGAGAAGCAGAGGTGGTTTGCCAGTGACCGTCTCTGCAGAGTCTTCCTTGGAGGTCTCCCATCCAGGTATTAAGTAGGGCTGACCCTGCTTCGCTTCTGAGATCTGACCATATCTGGCTACACCGTGCCATATTCCTTCCACAAAAGCAAGGTGCTGTTGTGGAAATAACTGTGGACCGTGTTTGTGTTGGAAAAATTGGCAAAAATACTTAGATATTCAGAGGCTAAAGCAATGGAACATAACATAAGAACATAAGAGACGCCAATGTTGGATCAGGCCAATGACCCATCCAGTCCAACACTCTGTCACACAGTGGCCAAAAACACCAGGTGCCATCAGGAGGTCCACCAGTGGGGCCAGGACATTAGAAGCCCTCCCACTGTTGCCCCCCCCCCAAGCCCAACATGGAACTGTTGGCCCCCCCAAGCCCAACATGGAACAATGGAACTTTGCTTCACTGGAGAGGAGGCATTTCTTCCTGTGTAAAAATCTTTATTTCTAAGGGGAAGGGTACACAGGAAAATCTACAAAATAAAAGACCTAAGGCTACATCCCTACAGCTTTACAGACTGACCACATGGTCTCACAACAACAACTGCAATGGAGATTCTTCTTCTTCTTCTTGACCCCTAGAAGGAAATGACCCGAGTGCATTAACCAATGATTGTGAGTAAACAGACTTAAATTTCCCCGGGCTCTCTTCCCATTGGCTCTGTGCCAGGTTTCCCTTCCAGGTCAGTCTAAACAATAGCACAAAGGGTAAACGGATTAACCCTATAATGGCTGAATTAGACCTTGCAACACACACACATTTCCAACAGTTTGAACGATGGAAGAGTTGTCTTCCTTTTGCATGGGCCTGTTTGGTGACCGCCAGCCTCACGCTGCCACCACGCTTCTTTCTGACTTGAGAAACAGGCCTCGAGAAGAGCCTCTTTGGATCTTGAATTTCCAGCTTGCTTTGTATTTCTGCATTTCCAAATAAAGACGTGATCTTTTCCAATGCCAGCCTACTAAGCCCTGTGGCTCTTAACCGGAACAGTGTCCTGGTTCAGGAGGTGATGCTCAGGAGACGTGACGGGCTGTGCCAGAGGGCACGCAAAAGTCCCAAAGCTCCCGTAGGTGGAGGCCCGCCAAGAGGACTTGCAGTCCTGCCTTCCGCTCGTCTCCTGAGAAGTTCACCCCTCTGCAGTGAGCAAGGCTGATTCCCAGGCAAGTGTGGCTGTGGCTGCAGTCCTGGGCATCTGTGAGTGGGAAGCGAGAAGAACATCGAGCACTGCGGGGCCTGTGCTGACGGGCACATCTCTGGTAAGGAATGTCCCCGACCGCTCCAGAACAAGTTTGCGCTGAAGGAACAGCTAGAAGACTGGAGGCACGGCAGGCGGTTGGCAAGTCCTGCCATCCGAGAAAATCTACTTCACTGATTCAAGCGATCCAAAAGGTTGAACGGCGACCCACTCAGAGCTCTATCCTTTGTTATCAAATCTACAAGAAAATGCTTTCTGTGTTAAGAACACAAGGGAAGCCATGTTGGATCAGGCCAATGGCCCATCCAGTCCAACACTCTGTGTCACACAGTGGCCAGAAATACCAGGTGCCATCAGGAGGTCCACCGGTGGGGCCAGGACACTAGGAGCCCCTCCCACTGTTGCCCCCCCCCCACCAAGCACCAAGAATACAGAGCATCACTTGCCCCAGACATAAGAACACAAGGGAAGCCAATGCTGGATCAGGCCAACTGCCCATCTGGTCCAACACTCTGTGTCACACAGTGGCCAAAAATACCAGGTGCCACCAGGAGGTCCAGCAGTGGGGCCAGGACACCAGAAGACCCTCCCACTGTCGCCTCCCCCCAAGCACCCAGAAAACAGAGCATCCCTTGCCTCAGACCGTTCTTTCCTATACCTTGTGGCTCATAGCCACTGATGGACCTCTGCTCCATATGTTTATCCATAAGAACATCAGAGAAGCCAGTGTTGGATCAGGCCAACGGCCCATCCAGTCCAACACTCTGTCACACAGTGGCCCAAAATACCAGGGGCCATCAGGAGGTTCACCAGTGGGGCCAGGACACTAGGAGCCCCTCCCACTGTTGCCCCCCCCCCACCAAGCACCAAGAATACAGAGCATCCCTTGCCCCAGACTGAGAGTTCCTATCTAGACCTTGTGGCTAATAGTGGCAGGGCGGCTTCTCTTTCCTTTCTCTCAAACTTCCTGCTGTTGCCGGGCGAGGTGCACCGTGGGGGGGCATGATACCCTCCCAAGGTGGGGCAGAGCTTCTCTGTGGTGGGTCTCCACCCCCAAATGCCCCACCGTGACTATGGGCCTGGTGCAGGTTAGTTGGCAATGGTGCATCTTTCTGGGATAAGAAAAGTTTAACCTCTGCTTTTAAAATAATGTCCTATTCCGGCTCTCCAGCTAAACCTTTGAAGAGCTGCTATTGGAAAGCTCGCTGCGAGCGTTCTAATGACTTCTGTAGAACCGTGTGGGCCCTGGGGTACCTACAGTGATTAGAGAAGATGGTGCTACCTTTAGTCAAACAAGACCTTTCTATCTTTCGTTCCTTTTAGTGTCCTGCCATAGACTACACCCGGCACACGCTGGACGGAGCTGCATGTCTTCTGAATAGCAATAAATATTTTCCCAGCAGGTAAAAGCGCCGTGGGTCCCCCCTATCTGCCTTTTTAAGTATCCACAATTAGTTCCCAAAAAGTGTGCAAAATTTAGAGCATGTTTGATGGAAATTGATTTTTGCTATATCAAATCGACACCATTATCTACTGTTCTTGATTTAAAATATTTGTATATATATAGTAAACCATTAAGTCGAAACAGGATCCTGTGTAAAATGTTTGTTTTTAATTCTTCCAGAGTTAGCATAAAGGAATCCTCCGTAGCAAAACTAGGATCAGTCTGCCGTAGGATTTACAGAATATTTTCACATGCGTATTTTCATCACCGTCAAATATTTGATGAATATGAGGTAAGTGTTCTTATGTTTTTAATAGATAGATTAATGTAGGATAAGTCTGTCAGTGGCTAATAGCCGTGGTGACTGAGGGGAACCTCCACATTCAGAGGCACTAATCCTCTGACTCCCAGAGTCAGGAGGTCACATCAGGGGAAGGCCTCAGCCTCTGTGCCCTGTTGTTGGCCCTCCAGAGGAACTGGTTGGCCACTTAATGAGACGGGATGCTGGGCTCTTCTCATGGGAAGGCCTCTGCCTCTATGCCCTGTTGCTGGTCCTCCAGAGGAACTGGTTGGCGACCCTGTGAGACAGGATGCTGGACTAGATGGACCACTGGTCTGATCCAGCAGGGCTCTTCTCACGGGAAGGCCTCGGCCTCTGTGCCCTGTTGCTGGTCCTCCAGACGAACTGGTTGGCGACCCTGTGAGACAGGATGCTGGACTAGATGGACTATTGGTCTGATCCAGCAGGGCTCTTCTCATGGGAAGGCCTCGGCCTCTGTGCCCTGTTGCTGGTCCTCCAGAGGAACTGGTTGGCGACCCTGTGAGACAGGATGCTGGACTAGATGGACCACTGGTCTGATCCAGCAGGGCTCTTCTCACGGGAAGGCCTCGGCCTCTATGCCCTATTGCTGGTCCTCCAGACGAACTGGTTGGCGACCCTGTGAGACAGGTTGCTGGACTAGATGGACTATTGGTCTGATCCAGCAGGGCTCTTCTCACAGGAAGGCCTCGGCCTCTGTGCCCTGTTGTTGGCCCTCCAGAGGAACTGGTTGGCCACTTAGTGAGACGGGATGCTGGAATAGATGGACCACTGGTCTGATCCAGCAGGGCTCTTGTGATGTTCTTAAGTGTTGTCATATGATCACTGTTCTAGTTTAGCGCTAGACTCTTCTTAGAGGTCAGCAGTGGACCTCCTTCTCTGCAGCCCTAAAGCAGCATGCTTGGGAGGGCTGTTGGGGAATGTGTGCTTTCTTCACAATGCTGTTTATGCCACTTTCCAAATATACTTAGGTCACGACACTCAGGGTTGGGCTGGGCTGGGCATGGATCTGGAAACAGGAGGGGAGGTTGGAAATGATGAGGATCGGCTCTACTTCGGTGCCTCTTGGGAATTTAGCCATGAATAGGCAGTGGGGCAGTAAAGGAAGAAGGAGAGAGAGAGAAGAAGAGATTGGATTTGTACCCCGCCCTTCACTACCCAAAAGTGTCTCAGAGCGGCTTGCAAACTCCTTTCCCTTCCCCTCCCCACAACAGACATCCCCTGTGAGGTAGGTGGGGCTGAGAGAGCTCGGAGAGAAACTGCTCTTTTTCAAGGACAGCTCTTATCAGAACTACGGCTTGCCCAAGGTCATCCAGCCAGGTGCAAGTGGAGGAGGAGTGGGGAATCAAACCCGGTTCTCCCAGATTAGAGTCCGCGCCCTTAATCACGACACCAAACTTCTCAAGTGTGTCAGATCTGAAAGCAAACGGGACTGGCCTTTCTGAACTCGGGTTTTCAGCACAGAAGTCGTACAAACTTTTCTATAAGCCGGAGCATAAGTCAGCCACCTTTTTACATGCAAAGCAATAATTTAGACGAGCATTTGACGGGAACGATCTGCTCCGTGTGCACTGCAGTTGCTTACATAGAGTCTCTGTGTATATACTGTAACATGAACATTGCCCTTAAGGGTGTTTTTTTGGGGGCTGCTTGTAGCTCACCAGACGTATTTGTCCATCTGCAGGTATTTGGGGGCTCCCCACTTTTGTGACCTAGAAGAGCTGCAGTGAAAGGGAGATTTAGCAAGCATCTTGATGGCGCACCTTGGGTTGCATGCATTGTGGGGTTCAAAGGGGGCAGGGTACGATAGACTTGGAGGCAATGCTCCCTCTAAGCTGTGGAGTCCTGAGAGCAAAAATTCTACTTTGGGAGCTACCAGCATTAAAGTTGTGAGCAGGTGATTTGGCTACTGCAAGGGTGTCAAACATGCGGCCGGGGGGCCGGATTAGGCCCCCGGAGGGCTTCTGTCAGGCCCACAGTGAAACTGGCTGTCTTCTGCTTCTTCAGTTCTGCTGCTGCTGCGTCATCGTAGGTTTGCAGCTTACAGATACACACCTGAATAGCATAGTCAAGATTGCAACAGCACAGACATTTTGATGCAGTAATTCAGAGCAAGAGGTGTCAGTTATCAGATACTGTTAAATAAACAAAATATTGCAAGAGTGCTACTGTTCTAAGCATGTTTTTATTTTAAGTTAAAAAAAAAGCTTTGTGTTTGTGTCCTTTATAAAGTTTATATCTCCGCTACCTGGCACTACATGTTATGACACACGTGGCCCGGCTCAACAAGGTCTCATTTATGTCAGTTCCGGCCCTCATAACAAATGAGTTCGACACCTCTGGGCTGCTGCATAAATTAGTTTGCTCTGGAGCCCCATCCTTCCTGAGCTAAGACAGAAATGTGTGAGCCAGAAGCTAAAAAACTGTGAACTGGCTCACACTAACTCAGCTTAGACAGAACATTGCTTGGAGGTTTGGGTAAGAAAGTGTAATGTACACAATGGTCCTGACCAATTAAGTTCTCCCCTTTTGAAACGTTGTTTCAAAATTCAGACATGTCATCCATGTGATTCCCTTTCTTTCCCCAGAACGAAACCTTCTTGTGTCACCGGTTTACCAAATTTGTGATGAAATACAACTTGATGTCCAAGGACAACCTGATTGTCCCGATCTTAGAAGAGGAGGTACAGAATTCGGTTTCCGGCGAAAGTGAGGCATGATGGGGATCGTGGACTGTAACGAACACACAATTAACACGATGTACTGTATATGTCATTTTAGAAACTTCAATCATGTATCCTTAGCGCTCTGGTTAGTAAACCTTTTGTATGCTGTGTGCGTTTCCTCTTAATATGGGATATGGTTTAAGTTATTCGTGAACTGTATATTCTTCATTGTGGCAGTCATGGTTTTTAAATAAAATTAGAGTTATCTGTTTATACTGCCTGTTAATAAAAAGAATTTACAGTTCTGAAAAAAAATTGCTGCTAAACAATCATTGGATCACAATCTTCAAATCTTGTCCAATTTCAGTCTAATAAGTTAAAGCTCCTTCTACTAATGAAGTTTGGAATTTTTAACCTTTTATTCTCGGTCTGACATTTTAGTTACGGAAAACTGCAAGTCCGTAGAAGTCCAATTCTGTATTTTATAGAAATTATCCTCGTCTTAGTTCCTAGACTTTTTTTGCTTTTGGGTGTGCGCATATGTAGTGCTAAACTATAGTAATATGTGTGTATCCAAATATCCATTATTACAGTATTATTAATACCAAAAGGATAATAGTTTTTTAAAATTATGTTGCCAAAAGCGTATCCTAGATCTGTTTCTTTCTGGACTTGCCTTTTTGTCTTGGTGGAGGCTCGTGCGTCTCAAAAAAGCTTGTCCCCTGAAGGCAAAGACTCTCCTCCACTGTGTGTCTACCTGCGCCGCTCCCTGGCGGATAAAACCAACATGTCTCCCCTCTTGCCTCTAGTGAAGTACTCTGTGGCGTACGCCTGTGCATTATTTAGAGGAATGGCTTACAGACTATACCTCGCATTAGATGTTCATGTAAACACTACAGCGGTGCGTGCGAAGATAACCTCCCTCGTTTGTAGCAAAAGAGCTCCCTGTTCTTAGAAGCTTGAGTTGACCCATCACGTTGTGTGCAACTGGAATCAGTCCTCTCTTTATCCACCCCTTAAGAATAACATCTCTGCTTTTATGTTCCAGTAATAGGGTTTTGCCCCTCATTCCTTCTTTAAACATGTCTTTAAATGGCATTGGCAGGTTGGCGTCATTGCCGAGGTTCCGTGAGTGTGCAAAGTGGTGTAGGTTGAAATATCTCAGATGGCGGCAGAACTGTTTTCGAGAAAGGATGTCGAATGTTCGGCTACATCAGATAGACACAAATGCCGAAATCTAAAAGCACTACCGATCTTTGTATATTTAAATGGGACTCGGTGAGATGTTTTAACTCTCTGAAGTTGGTATCTTAACCAATCCCCCTTCTCTGTCTCTCCGAGTAGATACGCTTCAGCCTTAATGGGCCAAAGCTTTTTTGTTTCCTTTCTAGGGTTACTCCGTGATCCAGGAATAAAGAAATCTAATTTATTTGTCACAGTCCTACTTCTGTTTCAGAACACATAGTGGACGTGCCTTAATTGCATATAAGGGATGACCAACTGGGCACAGCTTTAGCAACTTTGCTACCTGGGCATAAAGGGAAGTGGGAAACTGAGGCGCGAGGAAGAGACTCAGGTCTTCAGAGGGTCGTGGCACAAGCCCACTGACTTGATCGGGGCTGGGCTGGTGGAGTCACTTGGAGGACTGACCCACAATTTCTCCAGATTTCTCATCCAGGTCTCCTCCCTTGGCGGCTCTTATTTTCGGTTTTGAAACGGTCTTAATGGTCAACAGGGTCCTCACATTGGATGTGTTCTTAGCAACGGCATGTTGCCGTGGCATCCGTGCGCAGCTGAGGCTTACCTTGGGCAACACAGCTTCGGTTAGTACCTCAGAGCACGTGGCTAAGGAATTGTGTTTCGGAGGTGGCAGGATACATGTGGCGTTACCCCAACTGGCGGTTCCAGTGTAGTCTCTCCCCCCCCCCGTCAGAACGAGTCGATCAGCAAAAAGGATGGCGCCCTGAACCACTTATGTGACAGTGTGCGGCGCTTGACTCGGCAGGGAAACGGTAAACAGTCTTGGTTTCCCGCTAAATGCTTGTAAAAGTAATCGGTCTTATTTTTTGCTAACGATTTTGATTCTGCTGCACTGTAAAACTTGACTCTATGTAATCCAAGTCCGGTGAACGGCCTCAACGGGACGCTGCTTGTGACGCTTTGCTTAACGCTGCTGACTTCGAGTACCTCTGATAACATGTTTGCAAAGTATATGCCTGCCTGATTCTCTCTGGAACGTCCGTAAAGCTTCAGTGAACTATTGACTTTGTATGGTAAAATATTATTGAGGGTTTAACTTAACATCCTGCATTTCGTGAGCAAAAATTCTACTTTGTGAGCTGTTGGCCTTAAAGTTGTGAGCGAGTGATTTGGCTACTGCATAGATTAGTTTGCTCTGGAGCCATCCCTTCCTGAGCTAAGACAAAAATGTGTGAGCCAGAGGCTAAAAGACTGTGACCTAGCTCACACTAACTCAGCTTAGAGGGAATACTGGTGATATCTCAGGAGGGCAGTAGCTCAAATACGCTGACTGGACGTGTAAGTTTGACAGCCTTTGGATGTTTTTCAGGCGGCATAACAGTCTTCCGCCATGTTGCTGCTATGATTTGAACAAGACAGATAAAGGGGGGTTGCAGTATGGTACCAATATGGACAAGATAGAAGTACTGCAACTGTGCATTAATCAAATTTGTATTAATAATAACCACATATCTGATCATATATTCATATAAGTTTTACAAACAACAGAAACCAAATTCAAACTACAGAAGATGAAAATGTTCTTTACAATAATATCTAGGACGGGCTGATGAGCCCGTCCTAGATATTGTTGTTAAGAACATTTTTGTGAATAACATCAAAACGTATAGGAAACAAGGAAAGACCAATTTGGAAGATTTGTGATTATGCGGATGCACAGCTGTATGAGGTTTTCTGTATGAAAAAGACGCCTCGAAACGAGCTTCAGCTCCGGGGGAGTTCGTCCATCTTCGTCCATTTTCATCTTCTGTAGTTTGAATTTGGCTTCTGTTGTTTGTAAAACTTATATGAAGATATGATCAGATATGTGGTTATTATTAATACAAATCTGATTAATGCACAGTTGCAGTAGTGCTATGATTTGAACAGCCAAAGAGGAAATGGTGAGCCAGGACAAAGGGGAAACGACGTACACTTTTTGGCTGATCCGGAGGGTCCCTGAGGCACGCAGAGGGACATGGTTGTTGATGGCTCATGTGTGCGTGCAGAACAGACCCTCTGGCCTTCCACACAACCCACCCTGTGCATCCGCTTGCTCTACTGAAGTTGTTCTGTAAAGTATTTCTTCAAAATAGCAGTTCGCCCATCTCCAGTGAAAGGAAGAAAATGTGCTATCTACATCCCCCCCACACACACACACACACAAATTCCTGTAAGCAAGCTGGTAAAAACAAAACCTGTGGTAGATTCATCAGCAAAACTGATTTCTGAGTAAGATCTTCCAGAAGTTGGCATCCAATCTGTGAGACAAATGGTGGGGGGGACTAGGAGGGAGAGAAGATGAAATCACTCACTTTTGATTGGTTCTGAGTTGAAGGGGTACAGATCTGCTTATCTATTAATCTTTCCTCACCCCCCTTTCTCCCCTCACCCCTCCTTTGTAAGTTTTCTCCTCTCTTTCTACCCCACTGCCTTCTAATTCGGCTGCTGCATAAATTCGTTTGCTCCGGAGCCATCCTTCTTGAGCTTAAGACAAAAATGCGTGAGCCGGAGGCTAAAAAAACTGTGAGCTAGCTCACACTAACTCAGCTTAGAGGGAACACGGGTACAGCTCATCTGTCCATTCTGGAAGAGGAGAGCTTGTTTTACACAAGAACATAAGAGAAGCCAATGTTGGATCAGGCCAATGGCCCATCCAATCCAACACTCTGGGTCACACAGTGGCCAAAAATACCAGGTGCCCTCAGGAGGTCCAGCAGTGGGGCCAGGACACTAGGAGCCCTCCCACTGTTGCCCCCCCCCAAGCACCAAGAATACAGAGCATCCCTTGCCCTAGAACGAGAGTTCCTAGCTATACCTAACATAAAAACATAAGAGAAGCCAATGGGCCTTCTCAGAGGAGCCTGGAACCAGAGTGGTGGCAGCGTCAGGTAACACCCCACCTGAGCCGTGACAGACAGCTAAGCTTAGCTGGATAGCTTAATACCATCACTGACTATACGAAAGAGTCACATGCGGCTATTTTTTTTGTTGACAACTTAGAATATTCTCATCATGTTAAATTATACAGATAAAAGTGGGTACCCACAAGAAACTTACGGGGGGAGGGCATTCCCCCACCTTTGCTTCCTTCCCTCTTCCTGCTTCTTTGTCAAAGTTCCCTCCTATCTTTCTGCCCCCCACTGCTTATCTATTAATTTTTCCTCACCCCCCTTTCTCCCCTCACCCCTCCTTTGTAAGTTTTCTCCACTCTTTCTACCCCACTGCCTTCTCTAGCCCGGAGCCTCTCCCGACATTCCCCGCTACCGTGGTCAGGCCTAGAGCCTCTCCGCAGGAGCAGCTGGGCCCTCAACTGTACATGTGTTGTCTGCGCATGCACAGACAACGCTATTTGACTTTAGGAGTAATTAACCCTGCCCCATATTTTTTAAGATTTCAGATTTTTCTGCAGACTTGGGGGGGGGGGGTCACCCAGGTTTGCAGAGAAATTTGGGTAACTGTGGCCCCGATCTATGGTTTTATGGGCGCACCTGGGAAACAGATAGATTCTGATGCCTTTTTGGCTTAGTGGATCATTTCCTGTATGCATTTGTCTGTCTAGGATCCTGTGCTTTGGCAACGCTTGAGACGCAACGCCACGCCCCATGGGGCTCCCTGTGCTCGCACCATACTGGCAACGATGGGTAGTGGAGACCAGTGTTCCCTCTAAGCTGAGTTAGTGTGAGCTAGGTCACAGTTTTTCAGCCTCCGGCTCACACATTTTTGTCTTAGCTCAGGAAGGAATGGCTGAAGAGCAAACTAATGTATGCAGTAGCCAAATCGCTCGCTCACAACTTTTAATGCCAGCAGCTCACAAAGTAGAATTTTTGCTCACGAGACTCCACAGCTTAGAGGGAGCATTGGTGTAGGTCTGTGGGATGAGGGTTCAGCGTAGGCCTATGCTGGGTATGTTGTTAGGGGGCGGAGCCTGTCCCTTGCCTGCAGAACATCAGTGGTTCAAGGCCTCCATGTCTCCTTTTGCAGGGTAACCCTGGGAAAGATGTCTGCCTTAACCTTGGACAGAGAGCGAGCTGTCAAGGGAGCCAGTTTGGTGTAGTGGTCAGCAGCGCGGACTCTAATCTGGGAGAACCAGGTTTGATTCCCCACTCCTCCACATGCAGCCAGCTGGGTGACCTTGGGTCTGTCACAGGTTCTCTCAGTTCTCGAGAGCTCTCTCAGCCCCACCTCCCTCACAGGGTGTCTGTTGTGGGGAGAGGAAGGGAAGGAGATTGTAAGCTGCTCTGAGACTCTTTCAGGTAGTAAAGGTAAAGGTTCCCTTGCTCAAAAGCCAGTCGAATCCGACTCTAGGGTTGCGGTGCTCATCTCCGTTTCAAAGCCGAAGAGCCAGCGCTGTCCGGAGACATTTCCGTGGTCATGTGGCAGGCATGACTAAACACCAAGGCGCACGGAACGCTGTTACCTTCCCACCGAAGTGGTACCTATTTATCTACTTGCAATTTCTTGCTTTCGAACTGCTAGGTTGGCAGGAGCTGGAACTAGAGACGGGAGCTCACTCCGTCATGCGGCACACTCGGGTCTCGAACTGCTGAACTACCGACCTTCCACAGCCTGCAGTTCAGCGTCTTAACCACTTGAGCCATCCAGCTTCTTCAGGTAGTGAAGGGCGGGGTATAAATCCAATATCATCATCGTCATCATCACTGTTGTACAACGGTCTTAACTTGGTATGGGACATCCATTCCTCAGGCATCTCCCGGATATCGAAGCTGAATAGAGGCCTTGTGTTCAAACTCCTCAGTATCCCAATGCTGACAATGTCCTGGCATTTATGGGATAGCACAAACATCACAGTCTCAACACCGTGTATAGGATTTCTTTTAATACGTTCACTCTCTGAGTTCTAGGCTCAAGCAGGAGTAGTGTTAAAATTTGCACCTTAAACGTGGCGCCCGGTTCTTCATTTACACCTTAATCCCCCCCCCCTTAAACCACCGCGTTGTTTGTAATAGCACATCGGGGAAATGCTCTGTGCCGTTTCCACACTTCTTCATAGAAAGCTTTACGGTTTCCAACTGCAGAAATCAATACCCACCTTGCCGTTTCCCTCCCCCGGTTGTCGGAAGCATCACTGAGATCATCACCGAAGGCACTCGGGGCTGTTCTAGGAATGCAACATCCCAATAAAGTTGACCCTACTCGGTTCATTCTTCCGCCAAGTATTATCAAAGATGACTGTTTTTCGGTGAACACAGCTGCGGAGGAGCGAGGGGGAGACCGCGTGTATTTGGCTAAGGGAAAGCTGGTGGTTACATGTCCTGGCGGGTATATAAACGTAAGCTCTGTCTTTACGGTTTGTCAAATTATGTACAGGTCCTTCCAGTCTAGCCACTGGTCACATGCAAGTGACTTGCGTGGCTTCCTGCTCAAAC